CCACACGCTGTTGACTTGGCCAAAACACTGGAAATTGAGTCTGCTTAAAAACAGACCAAGGCACAGAAGCTAACGCAAAAGGCAAAAACCAGGCGCTAGGCAAGCAGGTGCAAGAGAAGGAATATTTAGTAAATACTAGTGGCCTTCAGAGGTATGACTTGGAGGTATCATATCCTTGTGATGTTATCTTCATACAGCTCTTATATAATTGTGCATTTCTATGATGTTCCAAAGATAACAGAGTCTATGGAAGTGGACAGCATTACCAAAGCTGTTCTCTGACATGATTACAGTGCGACACTCGAGTCTTTTAAGGTCAATATACTTTTTTGCATGGCACTCTACTTTTTTTCTCCTTTATGTCTGAGAAGAAAAAACGAACCTTGTTAGAGATAAATTGAGGCTTCAAGTTCAAAGTAGTTGGAGGAGGGGGTTCTACATCTGCCTAAATAACTAGGCATGTACACAAACTCACGATTTCCAGGTGAATCTTTTTAGAAAGATTGAGAAAATGGCCATACACAGAGGAATTAGCCTTTCAGAGAACAGAAAGGCAAAAAAACCAAAAGAATGAAATTGATATTCATTTATATGTGTTCACGAAATACATTCATGCTAAATTCATACCTAACTAAGATAAGTCCACTATATTTATTCAAGCTATGCTATGCACGGCTTGAAAGGGAGAGAATAAATTAGGGGCTAGGAAATAGTACGACAGAGTCAGAATCAGACAAGGTAAAGAACAACAAACCTTTTTCCATACTGTGACTTGAGCAAACATCCATGAGACCAATAAGAAGTCCATACCTGTTTCAAAACTGCATGGTTCTTAGGGTGCTGCCAGCCTCAAAGAACTGGAACCATAGGAACAGGTGATTTCCTCCAGAAATTCCCCAGAAAGCATCCCTGTTTTCTTTAGCAGTGCTTCAGGCCACCCAACAGTTCAATCACCATGATGGCTGCCAACTCTGTTGATCTTTTGCATTTTAAAGTATGTTCTAAGCTGGAATTTCCTTATATGTTTTTGAATAATCCAGCCAATTGAACCAAATCCAACAATGTCCCAATTTCAGCCAAAGACCTTGATTCGTACACTAATATATATTTGGTGATAGAACCCAGAGAAGAATTTATGATGTGGTATTCTTGGAGGATTTGGAAAGCAGGGGTAGCAAGATTTAGAATGAGTAATGATAAGTATATCCACAGATACCAGGTGGAAAGACAAGGAATTGGAAAAGACAAAGAGAGGAAGGAAGGTAGAGAAGCTGTTTTAAAAACAATGTTTCTTCTTCTTGGAAACCCTCAGCATGGAGGTGGGCCAAAGTCACTGACAGAAGGACCAGCCAACGAAGTCCAAAAGAAGAGGCTTTTCTCTCAAGATCACTGTCCTCTATCCTGGCCCAATGTTTCTCCTTATACTAGATCATCCTTCTTTTCCATGCTCTTTTCTCCATTAAAAAGGGTGTTACACCAACCCCTGGAAACAGCCATTTCCCCAAATGTTTTGCAGCAGATGAAGAAAAACAAAATCCCATAGATGATGTCATTCTGTATCTTACCTGACTTTCCAGGGGACAGGCATTCTAAAAAAAAGAATTACTGCAAAAGTTCACGACCTCACATTCAAACATGGTCAAAGTTTGATTCAGCATGTCCCTTCAAGGGGTAAGGGGAAACTCTGCTTTGAAATGTAAGCAATAACACCCTCTGACTTCTACTGAAATGACACCTGGAGACAAGACTGAGAGAAAAGAGGAAAATTCCTCTCTCTCAAACTCAGGATACAAATCAACCTTATCCCAAAAACTGCTTAAGAAGAAAGATCTGCACGCCTATCATGGAAACAACTTGAGATCCTATAATAGAGTGAACTATGAATTCTGACATCTAGTCCACAGGGAGAGGAGTTTAGGAGTTCTAATTACCTGTACCAGTTTCAGTTGCATAGCCTTCTCGTACTTTTCCACCCAAGTGCCAATAATGCCAGGGATGGAAAAGAGACGATACATAATAAAAATGACAGGTCTTTGACTCTTAGTTTTTCCTAAAACATAAAATTCATGAACTAAATAGGATTCACATTTATTTGCATTCTTCTGCATAATATATCACTTTAGTTTCAATGCAAGGTTTTACTCCAAATCAACAATTAAAATTAACTTTAAGAAAATGTAACACTCTTACTTTGTGACTCTACACTACGCTCAGTACACATCTACATGCCTCAGCACTAAAGAGCTTAAAGGACTCGAGCTTTATTTTCCTTTGTTTCTATTCAACCACTGTTCAGTTAGTGGGCACTATATATTCTCTCATGTTCAAGCCAAAATTAACTTCCTTAGCATGTTAAAGCTTTATCTTAAGAATTCAAAGTTGATTTCCAAAATCCAATCTTGGCTCTTTATCTAAATATTGAACTAAAACTAGTTATACTCTTTCTATACTGTGATCAAAGTAGGGAACACATCTTTGCTGACATACTTCCTCTCAGTGATAGTTTTGGTGGCTCTGAATAGAAAATCTTTTATCAGGTTTAGAAAACCTGCTAGCATATATGACCTGGAGAAGAGGTATTGTCTTCCTAGAAGAAAGAATTCTGGAACTTGTCTTACAATGACTTTTCATGGCTGATCAGATGGAGTATGTGGAATTACTTACAAGATAAAGTCTGGACAGAGCACAAAAAGCAAATCCTGATATTCTGATCAAATAACTGCCTCAGTTCTCTGTTCTGCAAATAGGCATCTATGCCAGAAGACGCCAGATTCAACCTTGAATGAGATTTTTCCACCTTCATGCTCAGCTCCATCTTATTTCCTTCTAAATATTAAGCAAATGAAAAAAACTTTTCATATATATACATATATATATGTATATGTATGCATTTATGTATATATGGTTTTTTGTTACATGTATATATGTACATATATATATGATTTTTTGTTTTTTGTTATATGTATATATGTATATATATGTTTTTTTAAGAAGCCAGACACAAATGACTGCATATTATATGATTCCATTTATATGAAAAGCCCAGAAAAGGCAAATTTATAGAGATAAAAGCAAACTGGTAGTTGTCTGGGGCTAAGGGTAAGACCAGGGAGTAACTGCAAAGGGACAGGAGGGAAATTTGGGGAAGTGATGGAATGGTCTAAAATTTGATTGTGGTGGTATCTAGACAACTCTATAAATTTAATAAAAATCACTGAATTGTAAGCTTACAGTGGATGATTTTTGTGGTATGGAAATTATATCTCAATAAAGCTGCTTCAAAGAAAGAGAAAACACCAGTCTTTAGAAAAAAAGGATGCTTCAATTAGGCCTTTAATGATCTAAATATCATGAGAAATTTCTGGCTAATTAGAAATGTTTAAACACAGCAAAATAGGACACTGCTTAAATTAGCTGAAAGTGACGCCAAGACAAGCATAAAGCACTCTACTTTAGGAAGTGGTTGTTTATATCGATTTTTTTTATATTTCTTTTGTTAATTTACATGGAACATTTCCCTCCCCTCCTCCCCCCCCAAAAAAAGACAAAAAGAAAGTGGATTTGGACTTTATTACTTTGTCATCCTGATGAAATAATCTCCCAAGAAAGAGGGTTAAACTAGTAGCACCTATAAAATATCTAATGTGATGGAACAAACAAGTAAATATAAAAATTGAATTATTTCCTTTTTATTTTTTTCCTACAGAAAGACCCTAGTAAGGAAAGAAGCAAAAAATTAAGAGATAATACTGAAAATTATGTGTGTTAGATGCTGAACTAATCTAATTTTGTCTTGCTGGGTCCACAGGACAACCATATTCCCCAACTTCCTTTTGCATTTTGGATGGAGTCATATCTGACAACATATGGGCAGAAGTGATATACTGTATATCATTTACAGGCAAGGCAATAAAAACACAATGCATAACCATCCAAACTCTTTTTCTCTACCCTATGGATATGGCTGGAAGTGAAGAACTCCAAAGTGGTAGACCCAGGTAATAAAAGAATCCTAGATGCCTGAATTATGTCTTTGAAGAGAGCTGTCACTGGCATTGAATTCTGCCTGAACAAGAAAATAAATCTTTCTTTTGTCAAGCCATTAAAATGTTGAGATTGTTTATTATAGCTAATTACCCTAATTACCTTAGTTATTTGTCTTAACTGATATACTATAAGACTCAAAATATATTTCTTCCTTTATTTATTTTATCAACTAAACATTCTTTCTGCCCATCCTTCCTCTTTCCCTTCCTATTCTCCTACCTCATGACTCCAGTTACTGTTCCTTTGTGAGGCAGAAGAAGAAACACGTAAGTAATATTCAGCCTGCACTTCATTAACACTCTTCTTCAAGAACCAGAATATTTGAATGGGGTAAAGTAAAAATAATAGGCTGCAATTTTTCATTCAGAAGAGCCAGACTGTGTCTCGAGTCTTTGGTTAAAATGTTACATTATCACCAAGAACAATGCTTTGCCTATCCTCTGAGAAAAAAAATCCCTACAGTGATAAATGCCAGGAAAGAAACGTCAGAGTTGGCAGTCACCTTCTGGGTCATGAACTTTGCCGTTATTTTCTGAAGCTTTTGGTAGTGGAGAAGTGCATTCTGGTTGCTCTAACTTTTTTTTTTTTTTTTTTTTTTTTTTTTTTTTTTTTGGTCCACCCTTGAGGATATTTCCCCAAAACAACAAATTACCATTTATTTCATTTTCAAGTTGTTTGCTTATACAGGTGCCCTTTCCTCCTTTTCTGCATAAAAAGCAAATGCAAGGAAAGAAGAGAGGACCCGCCCCAGTTCAGAAACCAAGCCCTGAGCCACACTCAGCCCATTACCCTCACCAGCCCTTCATCTGGTCAACCCCAGCTCCCCCACCCCCACAACTCCATAGTCAGAACATAAAATAATTCAAATAAAAAACAGCTCATAAAACAGTAAACAAAATAAAGCCAATTTTTTTCTTTTTTAAGAACAAAATGAAACTTGAGGGAAAACTTACTGGAGTTACAGTTTATCCTGATACAGTCTAGATGGGGAAAAATAAATGAAAGATGAAATCGCATCCTTCAAGGTAACAGCTGCAGACATCCAAAAACAATCAGTCCACCCTTCCGGGGACAGACACACGCAAGAAATGTGGCCATTTTATATATATACAGTATGTACAAGTTTAAGGGTGGGTGTATATGTACAGTATATTATTTAGTAAAGTTGGATACATATATATATACACACACACACATATATATATACACATATGTATAGAGATATATACTGATATACATATATATCCACAATAGACACCGAATATGCTGTTCCTTTTTTTTTTTCAAAAACCTATTCATTTATATAAAGTATTTCAAACCTGAATTTTGAAATATTAATTTTGTTCAACTTGGAAAATGATGCAAAAATTTCCCCACCAAATGCAGGTTATATTCTATTGCCCCCATAATGATTTTTCTCAAAATTTGTCTTTAAAAGTAGCATTGACACAATTTTTGTATTAGTATTCCAAAGATATATTACCAATCTGACACATTAATTTTTTAAAAGATTTGTTCATGAAGTTTCTCAGTGTAGTATTTAACCCTTTCTCTTTTTCTAAAAACAAACTCCCGCCACCCTCTTCTTTGCTTGGGCCCCAGATGCTCTAAAAATTTGCATAGGCAGAGCTGCCGTTATCCCTAGATATAAGGAAAGGGTTAATACCACCTGGTCATTTCCTGTCATAAAATGGCCACTTGCAAACAGCTAACCGCACAAACACCCATCCCAGATTTTAGAGAGGTGGGGTTGGGTGTAGGGTAAAAGGAGCTGTATGATAGTAATACAATTGACTGGTTTCTCTGCTATTGTTTCAAAGGCTCCCAGACCAACCCACTCATGAAGCCCATCTCCGTCTTCCTGCCTGAATGCTCAGACTAAATCACGTGCCTATAGCATTCTAGGAGAAGGCGAGACAGGTATATGGGGAGGAGGTCTCAGGCACCTTTGACATCCTACCTATTTCATTCTATGATTCTGCATCTTGAGGGGAGAAAATCCTTTTTTTTTTATTGTTTAATGGGAAGGAAAGGGAAGAAAGGGTGGCTAATTTTCCAGTGCTGGTAACCAGACAGGGTATCCTATGCCAGAGATCAGAGTATCTATCCTTTTATTAGTATGTCTTTAGAGTCGTGGACATCCAGCACAAAAGGTTTTGAGTAGAGTCAATGTTTATTGGTAGGGGATTAGGTAGAATGGTTAAAAAATGTCTCAGATTAATTGTTACAAAGTTGCCCAGTTGAAGATAAATTTGATATATCATGTGGGAATTCCAATATCAATTAGTTTAAAGCTAGATACTAAAAAGTAGAAGTAAAACAAGAAAAGGAAAAAAAAAGTTACAGGGAAAAATAGTTAGAAACTGAGCTCCTCTGCCTAAAGTTGAACCAATAGTTTGGAGGACTCTTCACGGATAATGCCACCATTTGAATTTCCCAAAGTAAACGATTTTAAGAAAGCAAGTGAAAAAGGAACCAGTGGCAAAGGACAGGGCAGAATGAAACTGTGTGCAATCCAGAGAGGAGAAATATATGACACCCACTCATTCTGAGGAAGGAGGCAGGATGCTTATTTGTTCCCCAGAAGAACATCTCTTGAGAAAAATCTGGGTTTGGTTTCGTGCGGTTAGGTTTGTCATGTGTCGTCAACCGCAACAGAAAAGTGGGAGCAAACAGCCCTGGAGCAACCGGTACGATCACCAAACAGAGGAGGCCATGCCCCTGGTGAGGACTAGGAAGGAGGAGGGCAAGTAGGGAGGAAGGGGTGGGGCTTCGGCTACCCGTTGCACCTACCATCAGGCAAAGCTGGAGGGATGTCCCTTCCTGATGTACTAAGGAGACAGGAGAAACAGGTGTATGCACACGCTTAAGAGAGAAGGGAAGAGAAAGAGTGGGCCTAAAGCAGCAAACCTGAGAACTATAAATAAGAAGTGGTTCTCTTCTTTGGATTCTTATGCTGTTGAAGATTGTATTCTTAGACAAGGACCTGGTTTAGGGAGAGGTGCTGGCTACACTCAAATGGTTCCATGAACTGAATGGTGTCTCTAAACCAAGGTGAGGAACTGGAGCTTTCAAGATGGTAGACAACTGGTTAAGTCAAGAAGGGATGGGTTATTTCGAATCTTTACTTGAAGAATAAGTAGTTCAAGGGGAAAAAAATATGTACTCCAGTGCCTTGCTCATAGGTTCTGAGAAGGTGGTCTTGATAGTGAGGGTGTATTTTTCAATGAAAAGTGAATCTTTGGAACTGGGTTGGGAAAGCAACATCCTTTAGATCTCTCTTCAGTAGCAGCCAAAGTTCTACCTCTGCCTTAGCCTTGGCAAGGTATCTGAGGGGTATATGCATGTCTGTGTATGTCTGTGCTGTTCATTATGTTTAATTTAGGTTTTTCTATTTTATTTTAGTAAGTGAAGAGAAATTATTTTCTAGATTGATGAGCTTTGGGTTGAGAGCACGGAAGAGGTGAATGTGTCTTCAACAATGTACAGAGTAAATGGCAGTCAATAAGTCTTTGTTGCCAGAGAGAACATCTGGAGAATTGGAATGCAATTAACCAAACTGCATGAGCCTCCCTATGAGCCTCCACCACTGAAGAAGCGTTGCTGGCATTCTGCTGAGGATTCTAAAGGGCCACAAATGAGATGTCAATACTGACTGACTTTTCAGCCATATGGCTCAATCCAAACCAGACACTAAGGAAAAAAGATTCCCTCTGTGCATGTTTAAAAGGTAACCATCACGAAAGCAGTCATCAAGACCACCACGTCATTGATCCACAGTATTGAGCTGTGGGGATAACAGATAACCCATGTTGATCCAGCATTTTAGAAAGTCAGGTTCTAGGCTCAACTCCAATGCCAACTTTTTATGTTAGCTTTGAAAAGTCAAACATTTCTTTGTTTCACATCTGTAAAAGTAAGCATAAAAACATTTGCATGATTTATCTCATAAAGTTACTGGGCGACTGAAATAAGGTTTTTAAATCTTTAAATATACTATGATAATGAAATTATTATATGTTTTAATTGTAAGAGATCAAAATATGATTGATCAGTAGCCAATCTCTCAACTTTTAAAAACGTGCAGTGTTGTAGGACCTTTTTCAACACCAGCTATTACCACATCTGGCTGTCTTCAGAGATCAAGACCCTCAGGAAAGCCTAGTCTCCTTGACATTTAGGAGATGGATACATTACATCAGAGAAATATATACATACTAGACTTTATATTATGAGCTTATATGTGTGACCAATTTGAAATAAACTGTAATATCACTTGAGCATATGCTAGAAAAGAGACACAATTGAAATGGTGAACAAATTGATCAGCTTGAATTTAATTCTTGTGGAATAAATGTGAATGCAAACCCTACTTAGAGATGCTTTCTCCCCTCTTCCAATGAAAAGGGAAAAATAAATTCATAATAAGGAGAGAAAACATTCATAAAGGAGTATATTTGGGGAGGGAAGGTAAGAAGAACCTTTAAATGAAGCATGGATGTGAACAGTTTTGTATACATAAGCACAGGGAATTTCAGTGAGGTTTTTCAAGTTAGGTTTGAAAGAAAGTTAAAGAAATTCAAACCAGTCATTGTGGTGAATCCTACTCTTCAGGGGAAAAAGAAGTCACTATTGCTTCTGAAAAGCACAAGGTTCTCCTACTCTGTTTTGCCTAAGATATCTGTACCTCAGAGGAGCTAGACTGAGTGTGTGCTAGAAGTCAAGTAGTCTCCTTGAGAAGCACTTCTCTCATAGTTGAGGCAGAGTTTAAAATAGAAAAATAACGGTTTCTAGGAATACACATGGGACCTCTGATTGTGTGTGTGTGTGTGTGTGTGTGTGTGTGTGTGTGTGTGTGTAAGAGAATCTATCCACTCCTTCCTCATCCCTTTTTATCTTCCTCCACCCCATCTCTCCTCCTAAGATGTGAGACCTACCACCATTGGCTTTCTCATCTTTACAAAACAACGTCTAGGAAGAAAAATATATTTTCTGTTTAAAAACAGTATACATTTCCACAGGGCCCCATGGGGCTAATCATCCTTATATATATGGTTCTCTCTTGCTCTGAAACATGCAGAGTTAAAAATTGTCATCATATTTTTCTGTAAGCTATTTAAGTCATTATGTTCATTTTTTTTTTATTTTTTCAAAATGTCTTCTGCTATTTTTCAGAGAAGTAGACAATCAGCTACTGGTTGTTGGTTTTAGGTCATACACGCTCTTTTGTTGCTTTGATGGGGGTAGGGAGGATGGTGTAGGGAAGGGAAGGTGAAAGGGACAGGGGTATTGCCAGCCCCTGCAGGCTGCTCAGTACACTCTGTTCTCAAGGCTGTTTGCTATGCGGGCCGCAGGCTTTGGGCCTTTGAAGGGTTGAATACCATCTTTTGATTTACCATGGTTGATGGTGGGGAGAATTAAAAACTCAAGAACACAAAGATCCAGCAAAAAAATAAAAAAAATAAAAAATAAAATAACCAAACACACACATACACAAACAAACAACAACGACAACAACAGCAACAACAAAAAAACCCAAGAGACACACTAACAACAGAAATCAAATGAGGTCGGACAAGAAAAAGGGCATAGTGTTGTAAAAGCTGCAAATTGGAAGGAAAAAAAAAGACATAACTAAAGCCACTGCTCAAAACAGTCCTCTGTGTCCTAGAGATATTTAAGATTGTGGTGTAGGCATTTTCCAAGTACAACCAGTTGCCCTGACAGCAGGTAAGACTGGTATGGATTCCAAATCCCACCTTCCCACTAGGCCATCTAAGGTTTTATATGGTCTTGTGTCTGGTATATTTGTTCATCATGTCTTCTCCATGCCTCTGACAACCCATTCCACTGGAATCTTTAAGAAGGAGCTCTGTATCCAAACATATACTATATACCCAAATAAATCCATAGCTTAGGAAGCTTGAACTCAACCATACTACTCATCCTGCTGACATAGGGCACTGACTTTCTACTGAGTAGAAATGAGGTTGGTTTCTTTCCTTCCAGAAATCAAGAGGTCCCCATTCTCCATAGAAGATCAATTAGAATCCAGTCAAGAAGGTCAGTAGCAGGAGAGAATGTGAGGCCATCAGGAGGGGAGTTTCCAAAGTATATGTTACATGTAATTGCAGTGGAAGAACAATAAGTCTGCAAATTTAAAACTGTCATAATTTTTAAATACTAAGGAAAAATTTATATGTATTACATGAGGAGGGCAGATAAATTGGAGAATAACAGTGTGACAGGACAATCTTTATAAAAGGGGCTGCTAGATAATGGGTAAGAATGTCAGGAAGGAAGAAGAGGATACATATCAGGAGCCACATTCTCCTTCTACATGTCAGAGACTCTATAAACTTATAGGATTATTTCTTTAATGGGACATCAGAAAAAAATCTGACTTGTCCTCCCCACTAGGCTAAAGTATGAAGAGATACCAGTGCCACCAGAATTCCCCATTTGAATAGTCATTGTAGACAAAGAAACAATGCAGCTCTCATCCTACTCACAAAGCTTAGTTCTCTCAAACCCAACCTCCATTTTGCCTCCATTTGCTATCCTATCTCTGCCTTCAGCTTTGACTGTTTTGAGTGGTGACCAAGGAGTTGGACTTAATGGCAATGTGATTGATCAAAAGATGGACCAAAGTAGCGTGTTTTACACAAAGCTAAACGGTTCCAAAAAACCAAGAAAGGAAACTTAAAAAATAAATAATCTAGTAAAAAAAAAAAAAAAAACCACCACTGTCAGAAACCAGAAATTGACATCAAAACCTCATGCAGAAACAAGGAGAAGGTGTTTGTTGCTGTTAGGTTTTATCCTTGATCTATTAAACAAGAGGTGAGCAGCTAACTTTTAAGAAACAAACAAAGAATTCAATCAAACCAATGAAAATCAGAAAAGAAAGGGTAGACAAGCCCAAACGAAGTGGCAGAGGGTACTTCATACGATACCTAAGTTAACCATGAGCTTGACACGCCCCCCATCCAGCTCCAAACGCAGGGTGTCCGCAGAGTCCCTGGAGGTAGTAGCCACCAGCAGCCCATAAGCTCGCTGGGACATGAAGCGGAAGGACACATCCTCTGCCTCAGTGTGCATGACCATGGGCATGATGATCTTCATGTACATGCTGCCATCATAGCTCAAGATGGACGCCTCTGCAAAGAAGAATGGAGGAGAATGTCAGGATAAAGGATATCAGAGTTTCTCTTTGCTTCCAGGGTAAGTAGAGTAGGGAGGAGAGGACACCAAATTTGCAGTCAGGTGGCCCGTGTTGGATAGACCTCCAGTGCTGCCACTTTTAACCTCTGTGACCTTGGGCAGACCACTTAAACTCTGAGGTTCTATTTCATTATTTGCCTTTAAAAGGCATACAGTGGCACTGGTCACTGCCCTACCATGTTCACAGACTTAGCAAGTGTGCCAAATGAAATAATGGATATGAAGATGTTTTCTAAATGTACAAATGCCCCCACAAATAGTAATAATTTAATTCTACGTGCTGTAGACAAAACAAAAATGCATTAAACAAAACTTAGACTCCTGGAAGTATTTCATGAAGAATAGGAGGAAAACAGCAATTTTTAACCAGCACAGCAAACGGACATTTGCCAGAGCTTCTAGGAGGAAAGAGCAGCAGTCCAGGTCTGGTCCTGTAACAGCCCTAGTGGCCAGGCACTATACGAGTTTGCTTCACCCATTCAAAGAGGATCTACAGAACTAGAGCTAGAACAACAACAACAAAAATAATGACACCCTGACAGTCAGTCATTTTATTCAAATAGCACTCTTATGAGGAAGAAACTCTACCCAATCTGATGCTTCTCTGGTCCAAGCACTTTGATTAGGAGCCCCCTTCCTCCCACTCCACCTCATTATGTTATCATCTCACTTAATGCTACAACATGGATATATCATTCCTACTTTGAATAGAAAACCAAGGGTCTTGAAGGCAGATGTTAACATCTCAAAGTCAGACAGCCTGGATTTTAAGCCAGTATGTCCAATACCAAAGCCAGGACCTGTTCTACAACACCATGCTGCTCAAAATGTGCATTTGTTCAATCATTCATTTAGCAAATATTTTTAGAGCACACAGAAATAATCACTCACATTCCTATGAAGCCAACCTGTCACTGGGCTCAGTATCCAGCACTCACTGGGCCCTCATTAAATATTTACTGTTGCCAAATAGTTGCTACCTACCTACATGTACTATGGAGGGTTCAAAAGTGAAACAGATAAGGACCCTGCTATGAAGGGAGACATGGCATGTGGAAGTAACTGTACTAGAATATACAAATGGTTAAATGACCGACCCAGGAAATATCTATAAATCCAGGGGCATTCAGGGCATTCATGCCACACAGAGACTGTGGTATGCAGGTGAGTAGAGAAGATAAGGTAGAGTCTGAGATGTTCTTGGTAGATGAATGGGGTTTGTAATGAAAGAGGTGATGGCATCAGATTTGTCACAGATAAAATAGCATCTGTATACATAGAGGAAAGAAAGAAGGGGAATTCTGAGATAAAAACAAGCTATCAAATTTAACAAAAGCATCAAGCATATTTTGAGAAGTAGTTATATAACTGTTCTTTGATATTACAATAAAATCAATGGACTTGGGAAGATATGGGAAGTGAATGGTTTTAGATTGAGAAGTACCATGATGCATTCATTTCTGATGCTGTGTACCTGGCACTCTTCTAAGTGTTGTGGACCTAACAGTTAACAAGAGACAAAAATTGTCTGCCTTTATGTATAAAAAAACCAGATCAGGAAGATACCAGCCCAACCACATGGAAGGTACTCAAAACAGTCTATATCACCATCATACCACCACCCTATTTATACAAGCAATATAAATACACCTGCTCATTCCCAAGGAGCAACCACCACCTGGGTAATACCCACAACATGCTAATAGCTGTACATTACAATCTGAAAACTCTAAGATTACAAATAAAGGTTTGACAGTTACAGACACTGCCACAATAAAAGACATATGATGAAGATGCATTCTTAGATGGGAAACATAACATGGTCCAGATGCGAAAGAAACTATTGTATTTCCTGGAAGAGCAGAATCAAAAGATCAATAATGATAGCTAAAATTTATTGAGAACTCATCATTTGCCTGGTGCTTGTTAGAATTTTACATGCACTAAGACAATTAATGCTTATAAGAACACCACAAAGAGGAAAATATCATTATTAGATTTTATAGATACCAGGTAACACAGATAACAAATGGTAGAGCTATGAGTCGAACACCGGCAGTTTGATTCTCACAGCTATATCCTTAACCATTCTGCCCAACTGTCAGAAGGCTCTGCCATGAACACATCCATGTTCCTAAGCACTGAAAGCACATCTACAATGCCTCATGGTAGAGTGTGGTGTCCTTGTGTATATGTTTGTCATACACACGTCATTATTTAAAGCTGTATATTATTTATGAACACATAAAATTATATAAACATAGATAATACATCCATTTCTAAATATGCTACATATAAATATGCACAATTCTTTGTGTGTTTGTGTAATGAAGAACACTATTAATCACTGTTACTATGTACCTTCTACTATACTCACCTACATACATATGTACACTCCTTTTTAAGAGACATTAGAGTATTCAGTGAGCCCTAAAATGGTTGTTTTGATGTATTCAACTTAAATACAATCCAAAAGTAATGGTCACTTTTATCCCTCTGGATATGTGTAGTGCCAGAGCATAGTCGAAATGAATGCATGTTTATGTCAGTATTGGTAGTATCAGGGAGCATCAGGTAAGTATGCAGTTAAACAGCTAATGGTACCAAATAAAGTATGTATCTCAATGTGTACCTTGGTGTGTGTCTCTGTGTGTTCTATTATCGACCCAATATTTTTAAGGGGAGGGTGATGAAGCAGAAAATTTAGTGTAGGAATCAGCTAAAAAAATCCATTCCAGGGGCGCCTGGGTGGCGCAGTCGGTTGAGCGTCCGACTTCAGCCAGGTCACGATCTCGCGGTCCGTGAGTTCGAGCCCCGCGTCGGGCTCTGGGCTGATGGCTCAGAGCCTGGAGCCTGTTTCTGATTCTGTGTCTCCCTCTCTCTCTGCCCCTCCCCCGTTCATGCTCTGTCTCTCTCTGTCCCAAAAATAAATAAACGTTGAAAAAAAAATTTTTTTTTTAAATAAAAAAAAAAAATCCATTCCAGGATTCTTATTAATTTGCTTAAAAGATTTCAAACACAAGGAGCACCCACCATGAATACAATAATTATTTGAGGCAAGAAAATAGGCCTGAATAAGGAAGTTATTCAATCTGAAACAAGTTGGTCTAATGAGTTTTAAGAGGTCACATGATGGGATGCCTACATAATGGTACTTACACAGTTTCCCTATCTTGTGCCTCTTTGCTCCTTTACTCTCACCTTTCATCTTAAATGAATATATCCTAGCACACTCATTCCTTTAACGATTAACTGTATTTTTGAGCTACTTTCTTAGTGGTTGCGCCAGGTCTTACAATATACGTCTTACCAAAATATGCTTCATATCTATACTCAGCTTAATTCCAGTGAGATATAGAAACTCTACTCTTCCACAACACGCTTCCCTTCCTCCTCATTGTGGTGTTGTTATTCACATTATGTCTATATGTGTTAGAACCTCAAAAATATTCTATTATCATGATTGCTTTTTAAAAACATGCCTTCTTAAAAAGCGAATAGAAGAAAGGAGAGCTCAAATATATTTATAGAGTTTTTTTAATTAAGCTTATTATTTACCATTTCTATCCCTCTTCACTTCTTCTTGCAGACTCAAGTTACCATCTGCTGTCATTTCCTTTCTCCAATATAGCTTCATTCATTTGCGGTTTATTGTCAAATATATCACAATTCCATACATTATAGGCCCAACAGGACAATTTTATAGATATTGTTTTTTGCAATTGTGTTTTAAATCAGTTAAGAGAAAAAAGAAAAAGAAATGGGTAATTATGCTGTCTTTTATCATTACCTACATAATTACCTTTACTGGAGCTCTTTTTTTTTCATGTAGATTCAAATTCCTGTCTGCTGTCACTTCCTTCCAGCATGAAGAATAAAAGCAGTTAGTAGTTCTCATAAGGCAGGTATACTAGCAGTGAACTCTCGGAGTTTACCTGGGAATGCCTTTATTTTGCCTTAACTTTTGAATGACCGCTCTGTTGGATATGGAAATCCTGGCTGACACTCATGTTTCTTTCAGCACATTGAATGCTGTCATGTCTTTTGCCTCCACTGTTTCTCAAGACACATCAGCTGTTAATCTCACTGCAGTGCTCTTATACACAAGGGGTCATTTATTTTTCTCTTGCTGCTTCCAAGATTCGTGTTTGGTGTTCAATGGTTTTATATAATGGGCCTGGATGTAAACGCTTTGAATTTATCCTACTTAGAGTACATTCAGCTTCTCTGCTGTGGAGACTAATGTTTTTCATCAAATTTGGGAAATTTTCAGTCACTAATACTTTGAATATTTTGTTTCTGTTCCTTTTTCCCTCCTTTCGTCCCTGTACTCCCATCTTACATATGTTGAGACATTTAAAAGTCCCCCACATTTTCCTGACATTCTGTTCATTGATCTTTTTTTTTCTTCTACTCAGACTTATAATTTCTATTAATCTATCTTCAACTTTGCGGATTCTTCTGCTGACTCAAATCTATTGTTGAGCCTCTCTAGGGAATTTTCTTTGGGTCACTGCACTTCTCAACTCCAAATTTATATATTATGTATGCAAAACCTCTAAATGGAAATTTAGAAGTTGAAAATTTATATATATATATATATATATATATATATATATATATATATACACACACACACTAACGATAATTGTAATGATAATACTAATACATCATTATAATTGATGAATCATTAGCATCTTACTTTTCTTTAATCCTCTAAGCCTCTAAGCATAGTTTTCTTAATCTTTTTAACATATTTAACATAATAACTTCCATGGAGGCTGTCTGCTAAGTCCAACATCTGGAGCCCCTCAAAGATAGTTTCCATTGCCAACATATATTCCTGTGTATCGGTCACATTTTCCCACCGCTGTGCATGTCTCACAACTTCTTGATGAAAACTGGACATTTTAGATGATGGATTATAGCAAGGTTA